CAGCCGAACTGCAGAACTGCAGTCAGCTGAAGTAGCCTGCAGTGCTGCATTTAACCACTGCGCCACCTGAACTTCAATTCCGATAACCCTTAGGTAGTATTCCACTGGATTAAAGGAATTGGAATCCAATGTATTTGGAAGGTTTTCCTTGGCCAGTGTTCCAGAAGGCTGGGGAGAAAATAGCTGACTGCTGAGTAGCATAATCAGGACTTTCAAGTCGGGAATCTACCTCTGTCCTCCCAACACCAAGTAATCAAAGACTGGCAAATAAGAAACGGACTGCCAGTTTTGCCCAGCAAATAGCACCAGGTATACTGGGGTTCACTAGGATTGCCACTGTTCATTTAAACATCTTCCCTTCCCTTCATCATTAGAAAAATAAACCTTTGCATTAGGCAATATTACCTCTCTATATATTACCATTCTTATGACAAAACAAGGCTTATTCCAAAGAGTGGGTGGGTTCCACCACTGAAGCCAGGGCTCATTGCCTTATCCAAGGAGCCTACATCAGATAATTAAGGTTTTCAATCAACCATTGTGGTATAGATATATGTAGATGGGTGGGGGCATTAAGCGTGTGTGTGAGAGAGAGGGGGAAGGAGAGAGGGAGAGGGAGTGAGAAAGAGAGAGAGAGAAATTTTGGATGGGATGCTAAATTTTTCATTGACCCCTCTAGCACACTGTTAAAAGCAGCTTGATATAAAAAAAAATCAAGCAAATGGAAAGATCTTGATCTTTGATTTCTATGCTGTGAAAATGTTAAGTTATGTGACAAGCTGCTATTAAGGACCCAGGAGGATGACTAAATAATAGTGGTGGCGTATCTACTAGATAGCTTGGGTTGTGTGTGCTGCATAAAGATTATGTAAGCACGAGACTGGAATTTTTGATCCACATAAACTTGAACTTTCTTTGGCCAGTACAAACTTCCAATATGTTTCTATTAAGGGTATTTTATTTATTTGTTATTCATTTCTCTGCTCTGGTCAATTCTGTTACCATATGTCTTTTTGTAAATAATTTTTTGAATATCTATACTAATTATGTAAGTTTTGAGTATATTTTACAAAAAGGAATGATTAAATATGTATTACAAGAATGTTATTTATGGCTCAATCATATATTTAAATGGTTTTTTTTAACTGTGTCTAAATTTGCAATATTTAAGTGGCATTCTAATAGTTATTCAGATTAGCTTTTAGGCTGAGAAGCTAAAGAGGAATGACCCTGGTTGATAGTTGAATGGGATTCCTCCAGTATACCAGAAGTCTACCCTAGATTAAGAAGTTGAATAAACATCTTGAATGAAGACAATGGTTGATCACTTTCGTGTCATTACTGGGGAGTTGGTCTTTTTTATATACAGGACTGCTGTAAAAAATTTCTTTACTTGTAAAGTGAATAGAAAAACAATCTCTCCCAATCTGGTGCCTTCCAGATATGTTAGTTTTCAGTTCCCATCATTCCCATTCAGCATGGGGAATCCAATACATCTAGTGGAATTGATTGCAAAAGTTAGTATGACATTATCTGATGCTTTATTTGTGTCTACATCAATAGACTCGTGTCAATGAGAAGAGACAAACTGTTTCTTGAGAGGTTTGCAGAAGGCCAGCAGGTTTAAGAGTTTTGGGGGAAGCATAGTTTACTATAGTTTACCATAGTTCTTCTTCCAAGGGAAGATCAACTCAGTTGTGTCTGTTTATGAGCTCCTCCATTTTATTATGCCTCAGGGCTTGATTCTCTTCCTCCTTTTAATGTCTACATGAAGCTATTGGGTGACATTGTTAGTCAGCCTGGAGTTATCTAATTACTAAGTATTATCTATACATTCATGAAAATTAGTTGTACATCTCTGTTCTTGGCCATCCATCCTTTGGGATTCTGGGCATGCA